ACGGTGAAACCCTGTCTCTACTAAAAATACAAAAAATTAGCCGGGTGTGGTTGGCATGTGCCTGTAACCCCAGCTACTTGGGAGGCTGAAGACAGGAGAATTGCTTGAACCCAGGAGGAGAAGGTTGCAGTGAGCCGAGATTGTACCACTGCATTTCAACGTGGGTAACAGAGCAAGACTCCATCTCAAAAACAACACATGTGATGCTCCATTAGAGCACCCCATTGTACTCCCTTGAAATATGCATGGTACATAATAGGTACTCATGGAGTTCTTCTTTGATAGGGAGGGGATTGGGGTTTAGCTGTTTTCTAACATCAGAGATTACTAAGTCTATAGGGTTTCTCTCCAATGCCCCCACTTGCCGTCTTGATGCATAGATAATCAGCTTGTGAGCTCCCTGAACAGCAATTACCTGATGGGTAATTCCTCCCAAATGTGAATCATAGGAAGCTGGACTGGGCATTGTGGCTTCTGAATCAAATTGACTCCAGGATCAAAGGCAAGGAGAAATAAGGAAAACTCGACTCTGCTCTGTTCCCTACTCAATATTGTATTTGCAATCTACATATTCCATAAGCAGTGGAAATGCCTCAACCATTTCTTGAAGGAAATGGAGGTCTGTGAAACTGCACGTGCCCCCTAGCAAAGATAAATAATGCATAGAGGGAGAGACAATGGGGTTGTCTTGTGTACTCAACCACAAGCAAAAGGGGATGTTGAGAAAGAAGACTAGGGGTGGTTAATAAAGTCGCTAAGTTCATCAACCTGGAGAACAGCAGGCACAGTTCACTGAATGCATGTCACAGGACGGACCAAGTTGTCACCTTACATGAATTTCCCTACTTCACCCTCTATCAACTCTACGGGGTGCAGATACATCCCCACTCTCTTATGGAAACTCTCTATAGACGTTAAGTAAGCTATCCAAGCCAGTATGGGTAGAATATTCGGGCCCAGTCTTATTCACCTTAAATCCAGTGTCTTCCTAGGACTGTAAAATTCCATAGACTATGTAGACCTATGTACACATTACTTTCTAACTCTTCACTCAGTCTCATTCACTTGATGTTGGCATTTGGGGACTCAGTTGGGAGTTGATTGGTTTGGTATAGGGTTTTCCACTTGTACCTATGATCCCACCATGGTCCACAACTGTCCCTACCCTTGGAGGAATCACCATGTGTTAATGTCCCACGAGGTTTCTATTTAGGCATGTGAGACAAAAGAGAACAGGGCCTCTTTATTACCTGTGTTCTTCAGCTGCCTGGAAGGGCTTCAGAAAATATCAAGACATGGAAGGAAAAGGCAAATCAAGAAAAGGAAATGGATGAATGCCTGGGCACGGTGGCTCATACCTATAATCCCAGCACTTTGGGAGGTCCAGGTGGGCAGATCACCTGAGGTCAGGAGTTCAAGACCAGCCTGGCCAACATGGTGAAGTCCCATTTCTATTAAAAATACAAAAATTGGCCAGGTGTGGTGGCGGGCACCTGTAATCCCAGCTACTTGGGAGGCTGAGGTTGGAGAATCGCTTGAACCCAGGAGTTGGAGGTTGCTATGAGTTGAGATCACACCATTGCACTCAAGCCTGGGTGACAGAGTGAAACTCCGTCTCAAACTTTTTTTTAAGAAAAGGAAATTGATGAATGTAGGGCATCCTTAGGGACTCTACTTCTGTGACTATCTTTGTTGGATACCTCCAAGGGTCACCCAAGCTTCCACAAAGGTAGCCATGGAGATTCTAAAGGCTATTTTCTTCAATATTCCAGGAAGAAAATTGAAGCCATGCATGGACCTAGGATACATTTTTGACTGGTATTTTAGTAACAATATAGATTCATATTGGATACCTCAGGAAGAACAGATTTAGGTTGGCACATATGCCTTCAATTGGTGACAGTGGAAACAATAAATCCTTAAATGCAGTTTGTTAGGTGACATCTTAGAAAAGATGGAGATTGCTTGGGGGTGTTGGGTGGGGGAAGGGGTCACAGGATAAGATTTCACTGTGGCAATTTAGGAAATGTTTGGACTTACATGTATCCCCTATTTCTTCTCTTTTAGGATGCCTTCTGTAAACACCCAAGCTAGACTAAGGACCTTGCCCTGGTATTCACACAATACCCCCTTGTATCACTTATCATGTTTATTGAAATTGTTGGCTTGTATGTCACCCCCTGCCCCAACCAGAAGAAATACCTCTCAAGGTACCATTTGTCTCTTTTAGCACACAACAGTGCCCTGAAGCACAATAGGTGTCAGTCATAGGGCCATAGGGTGAGCTGAACTGGGCTGGGGTAAAGACATCAGTCAAATCTAGAAGTTTTCCTCCAAAGGACTTCAGAGACAAAAGGCTACAGAAAATGCACTCTCTGGACCACGTGAATCCTGATGATGCTATGTCCTGAAAACAAGTATTTCCAACCTCTTTGCTACTTGTTGTCACTGAACACAAGATAGGGGTCCTTACTCTTTCAGCCAACTCCTGCCCTGTGTCCCACTCTGCTCTCTTCCTTTCCAAGACGAACCATCCCCCTGCCATCTCCTGCAGCCTAATCCATTTATTCCAGAGGAAAAGGAAACCTTTAAGATGTTGGGCTCAAAGTTTTTCATTCCGTGCCAATTCACTCGTGGCAGTTTGTAATCCAGTGAAACACCCAGGCAACCCGATGAATTTCCTTCTTTTTGACCAGTACCTTGCTCTAATAGATTATTGTACACATGAATGCTTGCAACCTCCATCCTGCTGGGGCTTCTACTTCTTTGTTGAAAATTTGATCTTGCTTCCAAGTATGGCTTTAGAATTCTAGCCATACTATTATCAGCAAGGGGGCACAATCCACCATTATAACCAAACTGATCACAGATATTGCTGGAATATTAAAATTAATTTTCATCCCAAGTAGTTACACTGTTTCATCATTTGGAAATGGTTGTGTCTCTCCCTGGTGAACATGGCATTAATTAGTTACGCATGGCTATTCCCAGTAAAGAGCACGTTCATTAAAAGTTAGCTAATTTTGATTTTACAGCAGGTGTGTGATTCTGAGATGTTTATAAATTGTTCGTGTGAGGATAAGCCATATAATTTTCCTTTATTTCTTTTGCTGTTTAATATAGTAGTGAGATACTGACGGTAGATATACCAAAACACTTCAGTTGCCATGTACTGAGAACAATTTTCAAATGAATGTGGTATAAGTGTGCAATTTTCCATTTATAACTTATGAATCTTGCTTTAGTAATTACATGAGCCCAAAAGTAACTTCGGATTTTCTTTTTCCTTCATAACTCATTACATGACCTTGGGAATAATCTTCATTTTTGCATTTCGGGATCCATAAAATGGGCTCAATGCTGTGATACCAGAGATTAAAAATTACACTATCAACAATTCCTTCAGTGCTTGGTCACATAAAAGGCTTAAGACATGCAAATATATTTGACAGGTGCTAGGGAGAATTTATAGCCAATTGATTCTTGTTTGTTACTATTCACCATGTTTTCAGTTACAATATGTGTATATATAGAGATAACTCTTGTTTTGTCCAAGAAGCTCAAAGTTGGCCCAATTCTAATGACTACACAAGAAATTTGCTGGACATTCATACTACTATTCCTTAATTTTCCCTTCCCTGATCTACCTAGTCTTTTTTTTTCTTTTTTTTTTCTTTTTCTTTCTTTTTTTTCTTTTTTCTTTTTTTTTTTTTTTTTTACTATTTTATTGTGTTTATTTTTGAAACATTTCAAATGCTCTGGTTTGGAATGAATACATAATGAAAAAGTGTTTCTTTTTGTCATGAGTATAATAGATGATCTAGACTAATACAGATTTTCTGAAAGATTTGCAAGCAACAGAGTTATAAAAAGGGCATTTAACCCTTTTCACACAGTCTTAAATGCAGTCCTATTTTCTTCTGCACACCAGAAAGCCAGTCACTGGCCAGGGAAGGCACATGCCAGACTCTCTTGGGGACTGCTGAATTTAACATAGAGCAGGGTTTCCCAGCTGTAGCACGACTGACTTTGAGCCTGGTAATTCTTTCTTGTTGGGGACTGTCAAACAACATCCCTAGACTCTACCCAGCAGAGGACATAGCATCTCTCCATTCCTGCTGTGACAACCAAAAATGTCTCTAGACCTTGCAAATGTCCCTTGGTCTAGGGCCACTGCCTTGGAGGCATCCCTCTCTCCCGGACTGCAGAGGTGCAAGAATATTCGAGCAGGATCCCTAAAAGAGGGACAGAGGGACTAGCATTTCAAGACTGCCACCTAACACGCCAGTACCGTTTTTTTTTTTCCTTTTACTGAGCATTCACACCATTCCTTGATATTCGCCTGGCAATACCAAAGTCCATGCACAGAAGGACCAAACTGGCAATGGGAAACCAATTTGCGTTGTCCCCACAGAGGGAGAAAGGAAGGCACATGCCATTTTGGAAAAATGCAACTGCAATGCATCTTAACTCCAATTTCATTAATTAGTGTATGTTTGCATGTGACTCAACACCTAATTTTCTCTTTGCAGGCAAAGGTTAGACAACCTTGAAGCTCAAGATATCCCTGGGGAGGGGAGCAAGACCACCCCAGTGATTTTTATGTATGAAAACCTCACGTCTTTCTGTGGAGGAATTCAAGGGGCAAATGTGGTCCAACCTCCTTAATAACCAGATGTTTGCAATCATCAGAAATACATCTTTGACTGGAACCATTTCTCTGTTCTCCAGCATTCAGTCTCAAAGAGAATTTACATAACAACATGTGACATGTAGAGTGCTTAAAGGCACCAACCATGACAGGACAAATTACACTCATTTTTCAATACTCTTAGCAAGGTGCTCCACTGCAGGTGCGCGCCGGGCTGCATGCTGGGGGCAGTTCTGGGGGTGGCGGGGGGGAGGGAATCAAGACCATCATGCGCTCACAAACAGCTCCGTGCCTCTGGGGGAGGCAGAGCTGGTGCAGGGAGGCCCGCCCAGGAGGCTGCCCCACTTACCCGCCATAGGCCGGGATCGGGGGCGGGGGCGCTGCGGCCCTGAAGGTGTTGTACACGGTGCGGCCGCGGCCTCGCAGGTGCGCCCCTCGGTAGGCGGCCGCGGCGGTCGCTGCTGGATACGGGAAGCCTGGCACTGCAGGGCAAGAAGCGGGGGGGGGGGGGGGGGGGGGGGGGGGGGGGGGAGAGAGAGAGAGCGAGCACAGGCTGTCAGATACACACCCTGCTGTGGAGGGAACCGTCCCGGGAACCCTTATCCCTGCACAGAGTTTCAGCAGGACCCCCGCCTGCTTCCCAGAGTCAGGAGGTGTTAAAAAGCAGAAAGCAGCACAGTAGCCAGGGTTGGACTCCAGAGAGGATGGGTAGTTAACACAGTAGGCCCTTTGCCCAGGAGAATATGGTGACTGACAAACATTTGCAACGAATTCTAAATAACGGGAGAAAAGCTCACTGCCTCAGTATTTAATTAATGAATTTATTTGAGACAGGGACTGGCTCTGTCACCCAGACTGGAAGTACAGTGGTGCGATCACGGCTCACGGTACCCTCCACTTCTAGGGCTCAAGTGATGCTCCTACCTCAGCCTCCCAAGTAGCTGGGACCATAGACAGCCAGGCGTGGTAGCATGCTTCTATTTTTTAATGTTTTGTAGAGATGGGGGTCTCCCTAAGTTGCCGCGGCCGGTTTTGTGAAATGCTGGGTTCGAGCAGTCCTCCTGTCTCTACCTCCCAAAGTGCTGGGATTACATGGACCAAACATGGCCAACCCACAAACACATTTTTAAAAGGGCAGATTGCAAGATGTGTGATGTCTTGCTAGTAATCTCTGGGGCCGAACTACATGAGTGTTGTTTATTCATAGCTTTCCCCATCCTATTTTTCCACAGTTTCCTTCATGTATAGACATCATCTGCTAAAACTTCTAATTCAAGTATTCCCACTGACACATGTATGTGGCGTGAGTGCACAAACCACACATGCCATGAGAAACAGCTTATTACCAACATCTCATAAGCCTGCTAAACTCTTGTGCAGCATTTAAAGGCAAAGGCAACCACCATGATTACAAATATGGGAGAAGTCTGGGACCCCGAATCTTAAGAGAATGTGTGGGGCTGGGCATGGTGGCTCCTGCCTGTAATCACAGCACTTTTGGAGGCTGAGGCAGGTGGATCATGAGGTCATGAGTTCGAGTCCAGCCTGGCCAATATGGTGAAACCCCATCTCTTCTAAAAATACAAAAATTGGCCAGACGTGGTGGCGCATGCCTGTAATTCCAGCTACTTGGGAGGCTGAGGCAGGATAATTGCTTGAACCTGGGAGGTGGAGGTTGCAGTGAGCTGAGATGGCACCACTGCATTGCAGCCTGGGTGACAGAGCAAGACTCTGTCTCAAATAAGAATGTGGGCAGGGATATCTTCCCTTGGGTAGAATTCTCTGAGCAGGATGAGGAGGCGAGGAGGAGTTAGGAACGGGAATTAAGCCTGATGATTACCCCAGACCCCTGATAACTAATGCTGTTTCCTCTATATGGGATGCTCTTCCTCCCATCTCACGCAAATCGTTAACTCGTCAGGGCCCATGAGGCCAGGAAACCACTTTTGCCTTGAAGTTCAGTTGGCTTCTCTGACCCTCCCAGTGCTCTAACCGTTCTAACCACACTTGTCCCATCTCACTAAGCAGCAAGCTGTGTTTCCCAAAGTGTGCATGGAGGATACCTGATGATTACCGCAGCCCCGGGATAACCAATGCTGTTTCCTGTATCTGGGATACCCTTCCTCCCATCTCATGCAAATCCTAACTCACCAGGGCCCATAGAGCCAGCAAACCACTTTTGCCTTCAAGCTCAGTTCGCTTCTCTAACCCTCCCAGTGCTCTCGCCATACTGACTACGCTTGTCTCATCTCACTAAGCAGCAGGTAATGTTTCCCAAACTGTGTCCACGGAGAATGTTTTCCTGAAAAAATGCATTTGGGAAGTCCCTGTCCCAGGAGACCCAAGGTAAACGCTCAGAAAGGCCCACCATGAAGGAAGCACTCTTAGTTAATCCAGCACATCCAAAGTCCTTTTCCAGGCTTTCTGCAGAAAAGCAAACCTCTCACTGGGCAGGGGTTGTAGTTCATTTCATGTTAAAGTTGTCTCCACCCTCTATTCAAATTGCCAAGAAGAGCTTCTCCCCTTCCCACCATCAGCTTCAGGAGTGGAAGCGTTCCACCTTACGTCTTCCCATTATTCAGAGTACTTTCCACGCACACTGATGCATGGACCCAGGTGAGGGTTGCAGAAGGAGCAAAAAGGCAAAAGAATTGGAAGGAAAAAAATGTGCACGAGAAGCCTCACTGGAGGCCCCGGCTACTACCGAGGAGGTTGGACAGGCTGGCCATGCAGTGCACTTAGAACTCCAAGAATTATACCTACACCTATAGATAGGATATGTTTGTACGTACATGGTGGGTGAAGGGAGTGGGTGGGGTTCGCCACAGAAGTCATTCTGAATTACTCTTGTAATTATAAGGACCCAAATAAAATCCCTGAACCTGACCAAAGTGAAGACCAACAGGCTATTTATTATCTGGAATTCTGTGTGCTCTTAAAGGTACAACAGCGTCCTGTTCTATGGATTCTACCACATCTTTCTCTCACAATGTGGGTGAAATACGAGGATTGTAGAACCCAGAATGATTCTATTTGTACCTGAGAAGACCATAAAGGTTATTTTTAACTTTTTTATTGTTGCTAAAGACAGATTATGCCATTTTATTTAACTTTTTTTGCCAGCTCCTAACACCTGAGTTTCCTGGATCGCATGGCAACTGGTACGCTTGAAACTGCAGAGAGGTGTGGGGTCTTAACGGGGAATGCGAGTAAATCCTAATATCATAAAAGCCCAGAAGTAACGAGAGATGAGACACTTGCTTCAGGACTGGGGAGAAAATGAGTGGGAGTGACTTTGACTCCAAATCTGTTTTGCCGCAGTTCAACTATTAAGTTTTCAGAGGAACACCCTGGATTTTGAAAAAAAGAAAATGAAGAATTCACAATCTGGCAGAGCAGCTGGCTGCCTGTGTGAGGAAACATGGTAATTATGCTGACCCATTCATTATCACTGGCTATGGAGCCGAATGAGCCAGACAAGCTCCCTCTCAGCCACAAGCAGGTTTTACAATAATTCTTGGAGGATTTAGATGTTGAGATATAACATGAAACAGAAGCTTGGCAAGAGACAGAGGGGAGCACGTGCTGTTAAGAGCATGGAGCCAGGATTCCATTTTGTACCCTCTTTGTTACTGGGAGAAAATGGATTTCCTGATGGCAGGATATTTACAAGTCTTCCTAGGAGGTTCTTTGGGCTCCCTCAAGCAGGGCACATTAGGGGACTTCTTATTTTGTGAAAGGAACACAGGAAGGGACTGCAAAGCAATTCCTCGTTTAAACAGTGCCTTCCTGAAAGGCCAAGTACCCTTGGTTAAAACAAAAGGGTTCCACAGGTCATGCTTTGGGCCAGAGGCTTCACGGAGAAAGGGCTGGAGAATTCAAGTGTACTGGGTGGATGGTATTTTCAGTGGTCTCTTTCTTGTTAATCTAGGGCTGGCCAAGGGGCCTTTTGGTGAAATCTCTAGTTAGAAAAATGCTCATCGATCACATTGCCTTTCTTTCTTAAGTTCCTTCCTTCCTTCCTTATACCTGCTCTTCTTTTTTATTCCTTCCTTTCTCCTCCCTTCCCTCTTTTCTTCCTTCCTTTTGTCTTCCTTGCTTCCTGTCCTTCCCTCCCTCTTTCTTTCTTTTGTCTTCCCTCCTTCCTGTCCTTCCCTCCTCCTCTTCCTTTTTCTCCCTCCTCCTCTTTCCCCTCCCTCTTTCTTCCTCTCCTCTCTCTTCATTTATTAATTCCCGCCTTCATTACAATCCTTTTCACTCTTTTTTAGGAATTTTTTTCTAAAGAGGGCTGCCCTGTTCTCCCCTGGTTCATGTATTGGATCAGAAATGAAGGTAGGACTCTCACTGGTGTGTGCATGCAAGCTGCATAAGGGTGGTGATCTCCATTTGTTCTGCTCATTGATTAGGATGAGTAACTAGCACCAAGCAGGTATCAGGTACCTAATACTGTGCCCGGTACCACCCTGTCGGTGGCTAACCAATGTTTGTCTTCCTTCTGGGAGAGTACAGCCACCACCTCTTCACTGTCCACCTTCCATAACACTGTCCTATGTACAAAGTGACCTGCCCAGAATTTGCAGATAAACAGCATACAAGCAACACAACTGTCAGAGGCGTTAGAACCAGAGCGACTCCATCTTAAATGGGGGCTAGGAAAAAGGCCAGGACCTGCTGGACTGCATTCCCAGAAAGTTAGGTATTCCTGGCCTCTAGATGTTTAGGGTTAAGGAAACAGATTGATAATGTTGACTAAACAGACGCCGACTTGGGATTGTCCTGATATCCTCATACCTCAAGAACAGAAAAGCATTCCTAATTTTGCTTTAAAGATATCGATTCTTGCAAAATATAGTAATTAAGAAAATTAATCCTTCATCACAAACCCTTGTAGCAGAGCACATTTCCCCATGATCTTATTTTCTTGTCCTATAGAAACAAGTATCATACCTAGGGGTGGAAGTGCTCCTCTTCTTACTTTTGGGAACACCCTACTGTCTATGGAGTAGCTGTACTTTCCCCATTTTACTTTCTTTATAAACTTGCTTTTCCTTTGCACTGTGAACTCGCCCTGAATTCTTTTTTGCACGAGATCCATGAACTCTCTCTCTGGGTCTGGATAGGAACCCCTTTCCTGTAATACAACTGAAATTGAGTCGCAATCCCTAGAAAGATAATTTCCATTTCTACCCTTGTACGTGTTTCACTGCCTCTGAAAAAGTAACCAGATTTTGAATGAGGATGATTTCAAGCAAGCAAGGGGAGGCTGCTTGGACCAAGTCTGTTGCACTTGGAATTATCAGAGCCTTCAATTCATTTAAATTCTCCTCGATGGCAGCACACGATCGGGATTTGAAATTGTTTCTTGTTTGGGGGGAAAAGCAGGACTCCAGTTTTGGCCCCAGACAGGTAACACCTATTAAAAGGTCTTCATCATGTCTCTCCTTCCATATAACCAACCCCAGACAATGCTGTCTGACAACCC